GGCACCGGCACCAGCGCTGCCTCCCGGCCCTAAAGCTCCCGAGCCCGCTGCGGGTTCCGCTCAGCACCTCGTTTTTTTGCTTCTCACCTCCTCGCCGGCTGAAGCCGCCGAAGGAGGGTGCGTGGCTCCCCCCGCTCCCCGCAGCGCCAGCACAGCACCCACCTCCCAGCGCTGGAGCTCACCCCGAGGCACATCCCCTGGGCAGTGCCGGGCATCCCTTGGGATAGGGGTGGCAAATTCCCAGTGGGAAGGAAAGGAGGAAAGTCGGAGTCCTGGAATTCAAGGGCTTCCAGGTCTATGTCCAGCTCTCATTAGCGTTTTTGGCGTATCTTGAGGCTGCAGCAACTCCAGGAGCAACACGGAGGTGAGTGGGCAGTGAGCACCGAGCAAACACTCCCCAGTTTCCACCCTGACCCCGTGCAAAGCTCCAGAGCAAGGCCCTGCTCTGGGATGCCCACCCCGTGCCAGCATTTCATAGGGGCTGCACATCCTCATCTCAGAGCTGCCAAACCACCATGCAGGTGGGTACACCTGCTCACGGTTACACCGTGCCTGAATCTGCTGTCCTAAGCACCACCAGACCCAGGGCTTCAGATCCAGTTTGAGAGTGCTTACCCCTGACAAGGATAAACCCCTCTCAGCCTTTTAATGGTGTTTGGGAGGTGGCTGCACCCTTACACATGTCCTGGCCCCTGGTCCCCATACCCAGAGACGTTTAGTGCTGGAAGTGAAGCTGCCTCAGGGCTTCCCAGGGCCCTGCACTCCCCCAGGCAGAAGGAGGAGGGCAGAGACCCTTGCTCATGGATCAACCCACTGCTGAGGGTCCTGCAGCCCAGGACCACAGGGCTGCCCCACAGCCCTGCCACCACCCACCCCAAAACACTACCAGTCCCAACCTCGTTCCCAGCTTGGTGGCAGGATCAGTTCTGTCCCCCTGGGCTCCCACGTGGCACCCAGCTCAGGCCATGCTGCAGACTCCCTGATCATCCTGATATTGGGATGAGCTCCCGGGACATCCCAACATCAATCTGCTGCTGCTGCAGGCTGGGTTGGGATGGGACAAGGACACTTTAGAAAAAAAGTAACATAAAATACATAAACAGAGGGCTGGCAGGGACACTGCTGCCCCGGCAGGCACTGAGCTTGTGTGTGCCCATCCTGGGGTGGGGGTGGGGGCTAAACCCCCTGGAAAGCCAGACCTAGGGGAAGCCCTGGCTGGGGTGGGACACCCCTGGGGCAAGGACCCCCCCATCCTGGGGGATGCTATAGGTTGGTGATGTAAAACTCCAAGCCAATGCG